GACACAGTTCAGTAAATAAACAAGCAAACTGCATAAAAATCAACCTTAACAAGATACTGTATGCAGGGAAGCACTGAGCAACATAATACTGTCTACCCCACCCAATTCCAGCCAAAATAGCCTAGTACTCCTATGAAGTCGCAGCAGATCTGGTATCAGCTCATTGTCAGGGACAAAAGTAGCAGCACTGGCTCTGTTTCAGGTTCTGCACTTCACTGGAGAACCCAAGCCCAAGAACTCAGCACTGTTCTCCCTTTTTTTTTTTTTTGAATGGTTAAGACACCCCCAGTATACCTGCTGAGACCAGCAGATTCAGAGTCAAATTCTGTATGTGCTGTGGCTGCTCTGCTGCCGTGTCTGGAGCTGTGTACACACCCCCAAAGCACTGCAGGAAAAGTGGCCTAGCTCAGGGACTTCACAGTCTAACTCAGCCAACAGGAAAAGCAGTACTAAGGGGAATAGATAGGGAGGCAACTCAAATGCTGATGTAACATCAGTATCACAATGAAAATATTTTAAAGAACTGGTTGAAAACAACAGAAGAGAAAGGCTATTCCATTGACAACTGTGGGAAGAAATTCCAGTTTGAAAGTGGGGAAGTACTTAAGAAAAAGGGCAGAAAGAACAATAAGAAACAGACAATGATTGTTTCTAATAAAACAGTGATGGATAAACAACCAATGCATTGTGTGGGTTTTTTTTCAGGTTTATCTACACACAAATCCTACATGATTCCTAATGTATTACTTAGCACAAGGTAATTCAGAGAAGCTGACAGTCTGTACCTCTATGTTTGAAAGCCTTTCCTCTCAACAGATCTGTATACAGCCTTGTGAAAACATGGCAAGGAGAAATTGTGACTAAATAGGATATACACATCTCTTATTTCATCTTAAATACTAGTAGTTCTAAGCCAGTAGATCTATTTTAATTATTATATTTTAATTATTGTATTCACGTGAAAAAGGCTGTCAGATTGTAAATCTAAAAACCATGCACTGTGGATGACCACAGGATCAGTATGCATTCAGCCAAGTACCCACAACAGTGCTTGGTATAATGAGCTAAACTAGACCCTTGAGGAGGAGGAGGAGGAGTGCCATGGCTGCCAGTGCCATCTGGCACATGCTTTGGGAACAAAACTTTCCAGGAAGGCAGGCAACATTCCACCTCAACTTTACACAACCCCATATGGAGAATGGGTTGCCTTGTACTCCACAGGGAATCTCACCCAAGGTAAAGACAAGCTAGCCTAGGGATTAAGGTACAGATTTATAACTATCAGTATTTCTGGACACCAAGCTGCTGAGAAGAGTGACAGTGAGAATTAGGGTCTCTTTCACTAAGTGTCCCCTTGCAGTAGGTGTCTGGCAACACACTTCTCTCACACGGCCTGTACAAGAGACCAGATTATTACACTGATCCAGCACAGACATGGCTTGGTTTGTTCTGCTTTTAATTAAGTGCTGTGCTTTTAATTAACTGATACAGGCAGTGAGAGCTCAAATCTTACTTCAGGAAGCAGAATTCTAAAAGCTTGGTTTTTTTACAGAACAGGTTGTCCACATTATTTAACCATTTCCAGACAAAACTTTTGAAAAGAATACATCTGGCAGCAGCCAGAGTAGTTTAACAAATATTACTTTTTAATATTGTCACTATAATGGTGCAAACAGAAGAGCAAGAGGACAAATGCTCAATGTAAGGAACAATAACAGAGATGACCGTTTATCTTTGGCTGCAGTTGACAGTTATTTGTGCTGTTTCCTAGTTAATAAAGCCACATTGCTCTTTTACACTGAATCTATAATAGCAAAAGATGGATTCCTAATAGTTATTCATAAATGGATTTACAATGTGGTATAGAACAGGAGAATAGCAATGAAGGTGTGGTTGAACAGACCTAGATGAACAGTGAGGAAAAATCTGGGGTTTTCTGGAGCTCTCTGCATTAGTATGGATCTACAAAGTTATGGTGGCTTTTCTCTCTGCTTTGCACTTCAGTGTACTGCATTATAAGCACAGCAGCATGAAGACCTAAGTTCTAAATAAGCTCTGTCCAAACATGCATCGAAAGCCAGCGTAGGTTTATTGTGTATGTTGAATTAAGGAAAAAAAAGAAGGCAAAATAACACTAAAAACCCCAACAGGCTGGCCAGAATTATTTGACAGAGCTCTTCAAAAAGAAACACCATTCAGTCAGGGGAAAAAACAGTTTTGTATCTTACCATTTGCCCAAAGATGTCATAACATTTTCTCCAGGGGGATAGTCAATTCCTTGAAAATAACAAGGGCATTCATTTCTAGAGCAGATGAAAAACATCATGTAAGTGATTAACTCTAATTGAAAGAAGTAAAAAATTCCCATTGACTTAATTGCTGTTCAAAGTTCAACTGGTTGCTTTGTTAGTTTTGGTGAGGTTTTCTGGTTGGGTGAGTGGGGGTTTTGTGGTTTTTTTGTTGGTTTTGTTTTGTTTTTTTTTTAATACAAGAGATTGATCTCAGCAACTACTGATACATGTTGTTGTATAACTCGAGCACATTCCAAACCAAATCAGTAACAAAGCAGAACCTTTAAACAACAATGTACACCTTCTGTATCTCTTATATACCAAGCCCCAGGTATATGTTAACATCTAGCTCTGGTGATGTTGATGAGTGCCAGTACTACACAGGAGCTATTTTTGGTCAACATACAGGTGCTGTATAAATCTAAGATCCCGCCAGGTTTACAGATAAATAATATCTACAAAGTTCCATGTTCGCAGCTTTCACGCTGACTTGCAAATGTAGTGGTCATAAGTAGTGAGTGTGACTGTTAGCACTGCAGCTTTGCCTACCTCTGTACACATCGTTCAGTCTTGGAATTCAAATACATTCCAGAGGGACAAGCACAGCCTTCAACACAATCACTGCTGCATGTCTCTGGCACAGACAGGGCTTGGCAGGTTCTGTCACACGTAGATACACAAGTACTGTACTCCTTTGTATCTTCACATGAAAGAGCTGTCCAAATGAAACAAATCTCAAATTACAGTGCAAGAGACTCATACCTCCCAACAGTTTTCTGATAAACATCTCTATTCTTTCATTTCCAATCACATTAAATTCCACTAAAATTGCTATCTTGGCACTATGCTGTGTAAACTACACAGATGTAAATCCGCAGTAATAACAAGTACAATGAAGTCTGCACAGTTAATCCAGATTTACACTCTGGAAACTGGACAGTTGAAGCATTTTTCCTTTATTTCTGAAAATTCTTGGCTCTTGTGAATGAGCTTTGGGAAATGGACAGCATCTTAAAGGAAATATTAAAAGCAATAAATAAAATGTGTGTACTTTGCAGACATTGCACAATACCATCTTAAGTTTTCTCATAGAATGTCTCCTACATAGCTCTACTAGAAAAAAAATCTGAATTTTTTGTAACACTAAAGATTTACATATTTTAAACCCAACAAGCATGACTTAAAATATATTCTAATAAATCTTCGAAAAAAATGAAAACAAAATTAAATGGTTTGCCTGATCAATTCAGTCATAGTGGACACAGCTATTCATGCCATAATGACTGCAGGCAAGCCAGTCTTTTTCGATAAATGTACTGGTAACTCCATCTTGAGATACTTAAGCTGGAACAACCTTCCAAAATCCTCCTTATCATGCATTACAACATGGATAATTACAAGATGTGACGAAAGATACCACATATCAAAAATTCTTGAATGTTCCTTAGAAAAGATTTTCAGCCCTGTTTATGGAGCCAGACCTACTGAAACATCAGGGGTATCAGTTTTGGGCTGGTTTATAGGGTTTCCATTTTATAACTTAAAAAAAAAAACACCTGTATGTGAGGGTACTACATGTCCTATCAACATCTTTTGCATCATTACAAGTTCATACAAAATAAAGAATTTAATATGATTATCCCAGTCCTCTATCTGTGAGTCATTACAGTGGGGATAATAGAGATGTCACCTTTGGCTGTCCTTTACACTATCTGTACTCTTGCATTAATTTTAAATGAGGTATCAGTAATATCAATTCTCTACACTTATTTCAGCACTCAGTGAATTTCAGTGTCACTGACAGTAAGAATAAGCTAAAAGATGTTGTCAAAGAGAAGCTGACAATAATCCAGCTAAAACTAAATACAACACCATCATTTTTCATCTAATTCATCTAAAGAATGAGTTAAGTCTTGCATCTATGAGGAAGAGAACAAATTTATTTACACAGCTCGTGAGAAATATTAACAGGGGTATGAGATCTTCAAAGCCATATAAAAAATATAGATGGATTTTTAATTCTATATAAATCTGAAGCCCTCCAACAACTTTAAAAAAATCTTTTCAATTTCTTAAATCAAAAGAACTAAAGAAAGCCAGCTGTAAGTAGCAATCCTCTAAAAACACTGGGACAAATTCTGTCTTGACAAAAAAAGAACCTTGTCCTTTACACAAAAGATGATGGCAGAATTAATCCTCTTCTCATTGAAAAGATTACATTCATTGAATTTTATTTTCTGATTGCCATTCTACAGTCTGCAAACAGTAATTACTGAAGACCAGAAGCAAAAGGCAACTCACCACAGTCTGGGACACCTCCTCTGAAATCTATGACAACTCCAAATCTTCGGCACTGATGAGCGTAATGGGCCAGAGCAGAGCAAAAACAAACCTGTCCACATTTGCAAGTGTCTCTTCTGCATTGCTCAAAGTAGGTAACGGGACTCAAATAGGGGTAGCATGGAGCAAAAAGTTCTTTGGTAAGGACACTACAAGCTTCTGCTGCATAAGAGGCTACACAAATAAGAGATTAAGCACTGTTTTAGTGATGGAGTTCTAAAAGATTTGGAATAAAAGGTGTATTCTGTAGAATGCAACTGATGATGATTATATATTATTGCCATATGTAACTTTCTACCTTTGATATCTACACAAATGTATGGAAGGACATAAAATGTTAGCTGCAGTTTTGAACTTGCTCTGTGAATGATTTTAAAGTATTCAGAAAACATTACAATACTACATGCAGTCTCCCATCTTCAAATTGATTTTTGGATGTGGGTTAGGCAACAGATGCTAACACACTACCCAGTACCTTACATAAACACACAGGATTACACCTCTCTTCAGTTCAAGTAATTGCCAGTAACTGCCTTTAACAGGTCAGTATTTTAAAGAATAATGTGTTGTTACCCACAGTTCCAGCTGCATGAGGCTGGAACCACACCCAGAGCTTGGGGTAGCACGATCAAGCAGAACAAGAGCAGTATCAAACAGTTACGTCAGAAGCTCCAAACAGCACTCAGCTGAGTATCTTAATTCTGAATGTATTGAATAATTATGAAATAGTGGTCAAAACAAATAATATGCTATGCTAGCATAGCAAGACAGAGACAAATTTGTATTTCCCACAAAATAAGAGAAATGCATGAACTAGGACTTGAAAATTCCTTTTCCAGAATTTCTGAATTCCTGTACAGGCCACTTTTTTCTACATTCATGTGCAAACTCATTACCAAGAGTGCAGCTTCTTAGTGCTGCAGATTGTATAAATACCCAGAATATGGGATAACATTGTAAGCAGGAGACATGAAGACTTCCTAGCACTGCTGAAGTTACAGGCAAAGCTTTAATCAATATTTTTATGTTTGTATCTTTGCCTGAAAGAAGTAGTAGGAACTGTGAAATGGACAGAACCACCTACAAAGTTCACCACTATTAAAGGATGTCTCAGGGAGCTTCTGTGGTCCTCATGGCATCAGCCACTAGTGTCATTCCCCAGCTGTATCCTTTCAGCTGGATCTAAAGGCTAATTCATTCAGTATTTTAAAAAATGAACACTGTAATACTTCTGAGTCATCTTAACTAGCAGCATCACCAACACTAGACATACTGTTCACCCCAAACCCAGATCTAGCTTTACACATTGTAATTGCATACCAGAAATAAAAAGAGGGTATTTCAAGTGGCTCTGCAAGTACCAGAAAATACACAAGTTATGATTTGTTAGGGGATTGAACTCAACTAATGCTACCTACACATATTCATTTTTTTCAGTGAGTCGGCCTGGTTATTACTTTACCTGAACCAACCAGGAAAACAGGCACAGATGTAATAAGTAGAAATGCATTTGTCAAAAACAATTGCCCTCCACTGCCCACCTGCCTGCAGATGAATATCACACGGATCCATTTGTGAACCATCATGCACAAGAACACATGCTGAAGAAGTTTTCCATGAGTTTCCAAACAGCTCTGGAGTGCTCTCTGTTACTCCAACTGGAGATCTTTTACAAAACAGAAGTCAGTCACAAAAGATGCAGTGAATTTACAAAACTGTTTCAGTTCTACCAACCCCTTCAGCACAGCTAATTTAAGCTTCCTTCCATTGCTCCATATGCTCAGGCAGTCTCCCATACAAAACTGCCAGCTTAAGTTTCAGGACTCCTCTTTCTTTCCAGGCAAAGGCCCAGAAAAGAAAAAAGAAGATCTGCTCTAGAGCCATTAGATACTCTGCAAGGAAGGACAGATCAAAACAGTCCAACTTCCACTCTCACAAGAGAAGGATGGAGCATCATTGTCCTGAAAGTCTGCATTTTCTTACTCCTGCTTCTGCCTCCTCAGGGATATCTGATACTTTTTTATCTCTCCTCCACCTATAATTTCCTGTCTGATCCCAGGTAGCTGACTTCCCAGGCTCTCTAATCCCTTCAAGAAAGAGGAAGGAACAGGAATCTAAGGGTACAGAGGCAAAACTGCAAAAGCAACTGGATAGACCTCCATGAGGCCTAGGTAAGCAGAGAGGCAGCAGAAGCTGAAAGATAGAAAGAGTTGGATCAAAATAACTGTGTCATGTTAACATTGCACAGGGAGAATGACTGAAACATGGGATGTTACACTCTGGGGAAAAGATCACATTAGGCATACAACCAGTATTGTTACTTCTGGTAAAGCAGGCAGGGGTGGAGGCATCACAAAAGACATCACTGCCCATGGCAAGTCTCCCAGATGTGGTGTGGATCAGGTGTTTTGTGGACATGTCAAGATGCTTGCACATTACAGTGTCATGTCTCAGCACAATTCTTAAGTTCCTCTAGTTTAAGAGATTTTTTTCCCACAAGTATCATCTATTGCACAATTTCTCACTTATTTGAGAACAAGTCCAAGGACTGTCATCAAAAATACATTAACAAAACTTCCTTGCTTCAAACAGAAATATTTTAAGTAGTTTCACATAAATAATCTCTTCACTGAGATCTTGTCTCTGTATTTCCTAGTCTCATAGACAATCTTCTGATGATAGTACTTCTAAATCTTTAGGATAAAGACTGTTAAAAATCCTAGATTTGTGTATGTATGTTTTTAAATTTATTATTATGTTACTAGTTAAACTATTATTTTAAGTTTTCCTATTTTTCTATTAGTTTTTATTTTAAAACTTCCCAATGTTTTTAGTGAAATATATTCTCCTATTCTTTTATCTTCTTGGTTACAGAAATATTCTGTCATGCTTTATAGTCATGTTCTCCCACTTCCATTACGCTGTTATATGCTCTGGAAGACAATTTTCTTTAGTATTGGTAGGAAATATGCTGCAAAGAAGCTGGACAAACAGCAGTCTGGACAGTGGGCTCAGGCAGCTCTGCCCACCTTTCACTGCATCACAGCAGACCCAATTCTTGTTGCTGGCCTGCAGACACTGAACAACCTAGATCCTGTCAGAGCAGATCAGAACTTGCAGCAGAATGTAGGAGCTGCAGAGAGATAAAGAGGTGTGCAGGGAGGCAGAATTCTTTGGACAGGCCACTCCATATTTTGGTCAAAGCCTTTCAGATAAACTAGAACTTATGAATCACAAATATTTCACTGTATTTTCCTGATAAAAAAAAATAAGCAAAGCCTGGCTTGATATCCTATACTTGAAGTTACAGATTTTCTGTTGGCAAACTAAGTTAGTCCATCTGAATAACTTAGAAGTTTGAAAAAAAATTATTCTTATAATTTATTTTACTTATTCTACTTATTCAGCTTCAGTACACACTTGATCTACCACTCTAACTGTAGCTATTCATATACTGGCAAACAGAAATCTTGCAGCTATTCATACAAAAAGTCATCCTCCATATTTCCATTGAAGGTTCCACAAAGGCCCACAGTATCATCTCTCCACCGTCCATCAGCTTGAAGGTACAGCCTCAGTCCCTGGCTGTCATACAGGATCTGCAATCCAATGTGTGTCTTTACTTGGAGAAATACAGAGGAGAGCTTCCGTATTTCAAAGAAATCTGGGGAGTACAAACAGATGTTGAAAGGCAAAGGAAACCTGCATGTAATTTGCATTTTGTTTCTAGTAATTTAAATAATTTTGTCTCATATTAATTTTCTCTAAGTTACATTTTTTCCTATTAAGGCTCTGCTTTCCCCTAATGATTGATTTCTCTCAAAAGGTTACACTGAATCACTCTACAAAAGTAAACAAGAAACTTATGACAGTCACCACACTTTTCAAAAATGCATCCAGCATTCACCAGAACACTCATAAAGGTTCAGTAAAATCAAATCAGTTTAAAGATAGGAACATTGCAGATAACATTGCTGACTGTTAAACAACCAAATCCTAACAGCTGCAATGTGCTCCCTATATTAAAGCCTTTTTTAGGCATTTCCCAAGGAGCCAAGGCCCCACAGAAACAGAGATTTAAAAACTCAAAGCAAAAACAAACAAACAAACAAAATTTCTCTGAAAATCTGTTACTTATTTTAAGGGGCAAGAAGGCTCCTTCTATTTATGTTTACTCAAGTCTCTCACAAAAAAGGGGGAAAAAATTATTCCATCAAACATCAGAGAAAATTTCCCCTCAGAAAAGAACTAACCAATCATGTAAAAGTGAGGGATGGCATCTGGACTTGAGAGCCAGAACATAATCTTAACACAAAGAGACACTAGCCCAACACAGCTACTGTAACTCCTACCATCAGTGTGGAAAGTATATCAGCAGCTGAGTCAGGAAACATTTTGTAAGCAATTCACGATGTTGACATTAACACTGTATCACTTCAGTATGTTAGCAACATTGACAGTTTCACAACATACAGATATGCCATTAAAATACTGATTTAGTGCCTGATAGGAGTTACGAACTTTGATATTATTCCTTACCATCTGCATAAGGCAGGTTAATTTTGTATTGGTCATATATCAAAACATCTCCTGAATGAGTCAGAGTCACTTGCCTCTTGGGGTCCTGCTTAAGAATAAGGCTGATTGATTGGATACATGATCCATCCTGGTTCTACAAATAAGAGCAAAACAATTAAAATATATATATAGTTAAGTAGAATGAATTAAAGAGTTAAATATGAGTGTAAGTAAAACCATAATTAGTGGCGAATCAAAAATTTCAGATGTATCTGCCTTCTTAGCAGAGTACACTTGTAAAACAGCTTTACAGCTAAGTAAGAAACCAGCATTTTGAATTTCACATGTACGTTTAAATATATAGTTAAATGTCAACTCTAACCTGTTATGCAGAGAACAGGTTTTAAGACTCATACGCTGAAGTTTCACAACATAAGGAAGCTACGTTGCCTACACAAGAAAATTTCACTACTTGAATTTAATACTTGACATTTATGCTGTTACCAGCTTTCATCAAAACAGAAGCCAACTATAATACACTTGTTTTACGTTAGTTCAGCTGGGTTTTTTTCCACCCATGATTCTGACACCTCATTACCAAGTTTCTAAGGACTCATTAGGGCCTGTGCTGAAGTATAGACAACACTGGTTTTAAACCATCAGACATTTGTTTTAACTTTATTTTTAAAGGTGGACAATTCCCATGCCAGACATGAAAGCCCACATTTTATTAACTTCAGCATGAAGTAACACCACACAGACATAAGAAAAGTCCTAAAGCAAGTCCTGAAACTGGCTGGTACCTAAATAAATCACAAATTATTTACTATTACTTCATGTTTTATGTTACTGTAGTGATCTTCAACTAGAGACCGTGCCACACAGGTGGAGAGCAGCACAAGTCTGAGGCATATTGAATAAAGGACCTTCAAGACCATCAAGTCCAACCATTATCTAACTCTACCAGGCCACTTCTACATCATATCCATGAGCAACCCATCTAGGTGGCTTTTAACTACAGAACTACAGGTACTTGGGCTTTCAATGCCAACACAGGTAAATAAGGAACTACAGGGACTTTGGGTTTCAATGCCAGTAGAGAAAGAATGTTCATTAAAGCATGCTTATTAACCACAGAAGATTATCAGATTGTTCTTAACAGAATGAATTTGATCACCGCTGATTTTTTTAAAAAGAAAAAAGTTCTACCACAGAAAATCAGGCAGAGAGATTAACTGAGAGATGACTTGAACTTTAGCATGCCAGCATCTCGTGAGTCATTTTGATACATGCCGAAAGACATCAGAAACAGTCCACTCTCTACTTTCCCTTTGCCTTAGGAAGGAACTGAGTTTCTGCCACTCCTGCTATGCTCAAATCTCTTTACTATAACTTCTGAAGCATCAGTTATTTGGTTTAGTGTGGCTGGATGAAGTTGAGACTGTCTATTCCCTGCCATCTACAGAGGAAAGGAAGAGGCACCCAACTGCTGTTTCTCCTGTTCAGCCTCCATCACTGCTAACAATTTAAAAGGTTTTCAAGAACAATGACAAATATTGGGCCATGTCACTTTTGGCACACTATTTGCTCATTTTACTCTCATCTTGATTATGCATCTTCCATGTCTCATAGTGCCTTATGTTACCGAGACATGAAATCTGGTCTGAAATAACTTGCTCAAAGAGCAGCCTAGGTCTCACAGCAGGAAATGTCTGATTGATTTGATCTCACCCTGAGCTGCAATCCAGAAACACCCAGCAGGGCTAAGGGAGGCTACACTTTTCAGTCCCACTGCCTACAGTGAAGGCATAACTGATGATGAAATAGCAAAACACTGGGAATCTTCTGTGCTGAAAGAGGAACTGAACCAGATTTAGTTAAAAGATCCCTGCCTTTGGACAGTCACACTAACAGAACTATACTGTGACTAGCACCATTCACAGTGCAAACAGGTTAGGATACCCAGCTCAGACACTTTCAACCAACTCCCACTGACTTTCATGGGGACTTCCCTAATGCAGACAATGTTACCCTGCTCATTGAAAACAATTACTAGACCTGCATGAACATGACCATGTGGCTTTGACAGATGCTGAACTAGCACAGAGCTTATCATCTGTCAGTCCTTCAAGTCTCATGGATACACAGCTATGTGGTTTGTAAAGAGTGGAAACTACACTCAGAATTTCCCCATCTCTAAATAACAGTGCAACAGGGATCTTTCACCAACAATTTTAAAAGATAAACTGAAACATAAAACCAGCAAATTGTAAAAATAACTGGAGAAACTTCATCAGCTCAACAAGCTGTCCTGGACTGATAGTGAAGACAGACATCTGCACTGTAAAGCCATGCTCTGCTAGCTTATCTTATTGCCTTGCCTCTTTACTAAGAATTTAAGTTTCTGTACATATTATTCAGTAACAGTGACTGTAAATTCACAATTTTATCAGCTTTTTAGGAAGCTAAAGAATACCAGCTAGCACACAGAGCAGACCACAGCCAAAAGAACTCTCTATAGTATATACGTTACCACACAATACTGACAAAAGCTTTATTATTCCTTCATGCTGAAACTAAAGGAGAAATTCTGCCAGACAGTTATTCTCTGTTCCAATGAGCTGTTCCTTTCACAGCACTGCCCCTGCCAACTTTCAGCAGGTGTTTTCTCAGGAATAGCCATTTCTCTCACTAGACACTTAAAAAAAATATTAAAAAAAAACTATATTCAGAAGACCTTCTCATCATACAAACTACAAAGACAGTGAGGTTGTCACCTGAAACTCAGATAACGTTAAGCTGCACTGATCACTTGACTGATCCTCCTTCCAAAAAGTGCTTAAACAAAATTTCACATCGTTTTGAAATAACTTGTTGCTCGATGACTGTTTATGTCACCAGCTCTAAGGCTCTGGATGACTGGATTCTTTGTGATTCAGTGAACTAAAATCTCCCCAGGTATTTTCTTTCTACATTTTTTTTAATCTGCTTGAATGAGATGGGACTGATAAGTTGTTTTTTAAAAAAGCATACAAAATCTCAAACCATCAAGACATATGAGATTCTGCACTACAAATCTTTTAGCTTCCCATTTCAATTCATTAAATTTTATAAATGGGAACAAGATAATGGATGGTGTCTAGGGAACTCTAAGGCAGCTCTTTTACCAAGTTTTACCAGCTAGGTGATAGACATCTGAATAGCTGCACTGAATCCCCACATTCTTACCTTATAGTACAGTATACCAACCTAACAATAGTAACACACAGGCATATATATACTCAATTCTGAGACAGCTGTCCCAAAAGCTATCCAAAGCTTTTCATAGTATCAGAAGTAAAAGTGAATTTCAAGCTGCAAGAACAAAGCTGAAAGAGAGATCTATATTCATGGCACAAAAAAGTAATTTTTCCATCAAGTAAGAAGAAGTAGGCTTATTCTGTGCTGGGTGCAAATTCACAAAGGTGTTTTCTTGAACTTTCTGAGTACAAGTTATGCAGCAGGGGTTGCTGCATGAACCACCATCTGCTATTGAACGACCTCAGTGAAAAGTAAATCAGACTGCTAGCAGCATCTTTCCTATTATATCACAAGCAAACATGAGGATTCCTGAACAGACTTTGTCTGAGCTGTTGTTCAACAATTTCATTAAGGAAAATTGTTGCTACCAGTTGATTTCATATGATCAACTGCAGGTAGCTTTCAGGGTGGTTTGTTTTGGTGGTTTTGGGGGTGTTTTTTTAATACTTTCCCCTCCACCCCCCGAGTAAAAAACCCTTCAGGATATAAATATTGCAAGAAAGTTTTAAGCCTTACCTGCCCACAAGGAGCATTTTGCAAGGATATGGTAAAGGCTCCAGACGTACGGCTTTTGGCTAGGACATATTGGCAGGCAGCTTGGAAAGTGTATTTGCGCCCATCAAAGGTCACAAAATGAATGTCTCCTGAAACTGAGCATTCAGCTGAAAAACACAGCAAAGGATATTTAAGTGTGTAGGAAAGACAGCATACTCTCAATAGTTACCACTGCTGTAGAGTCCACACGCTCCAATACATAATTTATGAAATTCTATTCATATTTTAATAGAAACACAGTTAGGAACTGAACCTCATCCTAGGTTTTGTTACAGAGTTCCTACCTGAAGACAGGCCAGGATACCTCAACAGTTCTTCCCCCTAAATGAGACAATAATATGTCTCACAAGAACCATGAGGCCATAGACACCTTTAACATGCAAAATCCTTTTGACCTTAATCTCTGTAGTTCAGCCGCCTACCTGTGAGGTGAGAATAACACCCCCCATTCCACAGGCATGGCATGAGAATCATTAACTGGTATCTCTAATATACCTAGATACTGTATTGATAACCAGCAATACTGGGAGGTGGAAGCAATCTTGCTAGAAGTCTGTCAAGTGAAAGTGGCACAAGAAGCTTTGGTCGAATGACAAGAATGACCAGGCAGAGCCATCTGACAGAGGCATTATGGTGGTGTACAGGGAGACACATTACTGTGATAAGTAATTCAAGCAACTTTAATGTTTAATATACTGTGTGTATATACATTTCTATGTAGATTGAAATAAAAATATAAAGTATATAGTGAATTATCACAGTAAGACCTAACAGCAGTATTTTACCTCAAGTAGTAATTCAGCTATTGTAAAGTTAAGTATCCAAGACTTGCACATACCTGGACATGTTAGATTTGTACAAATCCACTTTCCTCCAATGCAAGTGCTGAAATAAAAACAAAAAGGTTTCATACTTTTTGGGAGGATGAAGTATATAAAGTTTTTAGTCTCTTATTTGTTCTCCCTGGGTTTTTTTTCTATTAAGCGAGCACCAAGTGTCTTGAGCCTCACAAAAGGGTGTAATAGAGCTACCACAGTCACTACAATGCCTGGAGGCTGTGCCAAGTCATAAGGATATGATGAGGTGAAATTTTATCCATGCATCCAGTACCATTTTTCTTTCATTTTAGCTCCTTGATAACCATTATAAAAGTTATGGATTATTAAAATTCAGAAGAATCCACACAATCTACCTGAATCTTACTACTTTGGAAGATGAGAACTTTTGTGAAAGAAGTTGCACATCTACAAGCTCATTCATTTTCTTCAATTACATTGATACAACAAAAGGCATTACCTCTTCCTACAAGCTTTTCTTCACAATGTATAAAATTAACTCAGAAAATCCCAAAACTGCAGCTTAGTGTCATAATGACATTAGGCTCTTTGTATCTAAGTGAGACAACACAAAGAAAAGACAAAGTAAAACTGAAAGTAATTCTTCTACTGATTTCAAATTCTAGATGCCCTTTAGTCTGAATTCAAGGTGAGGAGAGTAGTAAACATTACAGTATCCTCTGCAATATCTGTCATTTGTTGTTATTCCATATTAATAGCTCTATAGTTTGTTCTTTTTCTCTTCATTGCAAAGCATATATAGAACAAGGGGTTTCATATGTAGAAACAGGGAGGACTTACCAACGTTATTCAATTTTTAACTGAAATAGGCCTTAAAGAAGTTGACTTTCATGCCTATGAAAGGATTAAGTCCACAATGTGAAAAGAAAAATTACTAACCAGTTATTACATTCTTCATAAACCACTGAACCCGTTTCAAAGAAACTTCCATGATAGTCACAAGGACAGTCCATTGGCTTAACACACAATTCATTTTCATAAATTAATCCTAGAAGAAATAAAACAAGAAAAAAAGTGAAATCCCTGTACAAATGGCTGATTGAACACTCACAAGTGTAGGCCAGAATGGCAAATACCTCACGTGCCAGAACCATACAACGGTAAGAATCTCACTAGGAAAACCTGTTTCTGGCCACAAGAATGGGTTTTAGTCATATCACATTTTTGAGCTCTCCTAAGAATTTGACCTCATAGATGTTCTTCAGCAAAACCAGAACAAAACAAACAAAGCCCACCAAAATAACCACAAAAAAAACCCTCAAGCATCAACCACCAGAATCAGGAGGATGGCTGCCCTGACAAGAACAGAGCAAACCCCATTTTTCACTCAAATTGTGGAATCCTACAGCTAGAATGTGGGTTTGTGCTGAAACCTGTTCCCACTTGTTATGAGGGAGGAAAAGGCTTTTGTCAGTTAGGAGGAAAACAGGGTCATTCATCCACACTGTTGGCACTACGTTTATAAAGAGCTCCTGTGAATCCCTTAACCTAGCCAGGCCATACAGGTATGTAAACTTGGGGGATAAAGGTCTGAAAGTTATTTGAAATCAATCAATATGTGTTAGAGAAGCAAAACTTACCCTCTGGACAGTAGCATCCATCAATGCAGGGAAGCTCACTGCCAATGCACTGTGATCGTTGATGACATGAAACAGGGCAACAGTTGATGCATTCATTGTAGGTGAAGGGTTCAGGACAGGTAATTGCTAAATAAAAACAGGTAGAGGAATGAAAATGTATTGTGCTACTGCCTCAGGGCTTAAATAGATGGCACATGTTTCCTTTCAGGTATTTACTTTCTTATAAGTCAGCTGAGTACCTGTTGTCTAGACCAATGAAACAATGGCTTTCCTAACACAAACAGAGAATATACATATATTAATATTCTGTCCTTTAAAGGTGCATTGAGCAGGAATAATCTTAAATTACACCATGGAAGACTCAGGGAAACTCTCCCACAACAGAACTATTTAGATATCAGACCAGCAAAGCAAGTAGTAGAATATCCATTAACATTTTTGGAAACATGAGGGAAATCTTCTGTCATGAATGACAAAGCAATTTTGGTCCTGTGTTCTGGACAAGCAGACAAGTTAGATGATCTCTTCCAAACTTACATTTTGTGACTTGTAACACAAAGACTTCGATAAGCGTAATTCACTGTAACCCTCCTGACACACATGTATTAGAAAGCCATGAAGACTTTCAGTGTTTGAAAGAGTAGCTTTAAGAAAAAGCAAATGGCTAATCATCTTCAAGAATATCTGATGTTTCAAGCAAGTGGGTTCTTAAAACACATTCTAATAAGCTTAGTGCTCTCAGTACATATTAGACATGCAAAAAAACCTCCATTGCATTTATGTAGCCTTGAAGGAAATCCATAGTTATGCCTTCACCGAGAACTACATGAGTTCAAAAGAGGAGGAAGGACAAAGAAGCAAAAGTATGAAAAGCACTCTCCAAAACACAACTCCTGAGCAGTATTTCCAAGTATGAAGGCAGCTGCATACCACACTGCTCAAAGTGCATTCGCCATCCGTGAAGCGGCTTTCCTGCCTGGGCACATGCTCTGGCGTATTCAGTTAGTGCTCGACACCAGGTTGCATCATCAGCTGCTGACCTTACACAAATAAAAATGGACATATTATTTTCTATCTACATTCAAACGTGTAACCATAACCTCCTGAATGCTCCTGCAGTGCATACAGCCCCTAATAATGTTCTAAAGCACTGTGTTGTTTGCCTAGCTTAAAAGTCTTCAATGGGTAAGACACTCTGCCACACTTGAAGACAGGTCATCAATGTATTAGAGACCTGGCACTAATTTCCTGAATAAATTCCTGAGAGCCAGAGGTACAGCAGCATAAACAGACTTGAATAAAGGTCTTGATTTTTACAAAAGGAATATCAGCCTTCAGAAAACTCAGAAGAAATAAGTGTAAAATTCCTACCAGTGAGTCACCAAAGTACAAGAAATGGAAATAATCTCCTGTCCTGCCTGTTAATTGAACTAGAAAAAACTCCTTGGATAAAGGAGCATAGCAAATTGTGAAATTATAGCATAAATACAAATAGCAATCAAATTTCTCTTTTAATTGAATTAACATATGGCTTGTGGATGCCAAACTGATCTATACATTATTACTTTTTATTAAGGTCAGAAACACTAATGATGCTGCACACTCAGAATCAAAACAGTTGACATATTCAAGGGAAGGTACACTACCAGATTATGAGAATATCTGAGTCTGATTTTGGCCATCCTTATACCAAAACAAACTCCAAACAAACGAGGAACAACTCCATAGAAATTTCTGGCAGTAAAACTATAACAAGTAAATAAAAGCAAAACAATGAAAGAATTTTAGGTAACAAAATGATATTGAGAAAAAGACACACATTAGTTCTGTTACAGTAATTTACAATTCATTCTCATGACAGAAGGACAATGTTTTTCATAATAGCTTTGGAATTACTCAAAACCATTCACTTACATGCAAAGGTCATTGGTGCAGCTTGCCATAAAAGGAAGAGGACTCACATATTCGTGGCATGGTTCAAACGGGGGATGTAACAGGATATTACACAGAGCGTATGCACTCTGAAATGAATGAGACAGCTGCTGTGAAGAGGTTTTCAGAAAGGAACATAAGCAGAATAGAATGCTATGGAAAATCAGAACAGAAGTCTCAGTCTGTGACTAGGAATCACTTTCCTCACAGAAACTAGAAGCAGCAGCCAGCAACATGTTGCTTTCTATGCCAGAGTATTCATGACACTAGATCTTTTATCCAGGGTCAGACCAAAGAGTAGTAAAACATATCCCTTCCCCAAGAGAGGAATATACCATGATACAGGTAAGCCCAGGCTATCTGAAATAGACTTCATTTTAGTTAAATTACACAGCAAAAGGCAACAGAAATAAAACATGCATGACATGAGGCTTACAGGGTTATATCTTGAAAATATTACTTAAAAGGAAAAACTACTTCAGTGTAATCGACAAAAGTAACACTTGCAAATTAACTGTGCTCTTCTGTTTTTGCCTGCCTGCTTCTTTCTGTCCTTCAAAAGGGAAGGAAATGAAACCAGTTCTAGACCACGCCCCTACTTTGGATCTGAAGCTACATGAGTGAAGAGTTCTAAACACTTCTATTGTCTGCTATGCAGACAAGACAGCATTTGAAAAGATTAAAAATTGAATTATAAACTACAGAAGAAAAGTGGGAGGAAAAGGAGAGGACAAGGGAAGCTCTGCTGAAGCAAACATTTTAATCCAGCTCTCCAAAGAAAAACTGGGGACATTTCGTCTCCTTCAAATCATTAAGGTAAATTCTAATTAGAATCACCAATAATTGTAATAATCCTTTTGTTTTGATCCAAACCTGTAGAGATTCATAGCTTTGTCTCAGGCAAGGCGGCTCACTGAGAACAGACTTATCCCAGTTGGGTGTTCCTTGTGGAGGATTTTCCTGCCAGCTCTCTACAAATTCTGTTACATCATCCGTCAGTTTTCCTAAGTAAGACACACACACACAGAGACACAGTGACTTGGAAGAACAACAACGTTTCTGCAGGATTTCCCAGGAAAACATCTCAATAATCAAAACATCACATTAAGCAGAATGCATCAACCTCTCCCCTACAACTAAATGAATCAGCTCTTAGTCTGAAGACAATCCTGGCCTTCTAAGAAACAAAAATATTTTTTAAAAGGGACTACAGTAGGAAGGCTTTAGAATGGCAAACTTACTCATGCAATTTGGCAAGGACATTACAATTAAAAAAACTAAGCAAAGAAACATCTCATTCACCTGAAAAAAAAAGAAGAAAAAAAGAATAAAACCCACAAACATGTACTGACACAAAAGGAAGTATTCTAAGCACTCACCATAACTGGTTTCAAGGTCATCCTGCAGGACAGCATTGTTGTTCCCACACAGCCCGTGTGTTCTGCCCAGGTACTCCGGTGCCATTTTGATGTACACGGCAGACGTGCCGTCCCAGGCCAGAGTGAAGGCGTACTGGTGCCTGACCAGGAAGTAGCCAGCTAGCTTCTGGATGTGCAAGTTACCAATGATATAGGGTAACTGTACTCTGAGAAATGAGACAGAATCAAATGAGAAAGTAGCACAACTAAAAATAAATTACCCATTAATTAAGTGCCTGACACCACTTGATACAAATATCAAGTAATTCCACTAAAAAAAGATGAAACTGCAAATATGAGCAACAGCCAAAGGATCAATGTCAACAGTTATGCTTTTTAATACTATTCACCACTCATTTAGATATCACCTTACTCAGACACTACTCTGTAGATGTGGAGTAATTAGTACAGCTGTGGTCTGGACAGGGTTTTTCTTAAGCTACCAACAAATAAATTTTACATCTCTGTTATCAAATTAGTATCATGAGATTAGTTCCAGTATAAGTATGACATCAGAAACATAAGTGCAATTACCCAAATCCTTTATAAGTGACTTCACTGCTCATCTTTATCTGTTCATCTCCAGAAAAGTATAAACTAATGGACCTTGTGCAGGAATAAGGAGAAGAATGGCACTCAGGATCATTATTCACCTGCCAAATAAAATTACTAGAGTCAAAGCCATGATTTTTATCCAACTCTTTGTAATCCATGTTACATAACTAATATTCCAAATCCCCCACTCAACATGCAAACAGTTTGTGTTGCTCTTCCCCCAAAACCCAAATACAATTAGCACTCTTTAGAGCAGTCTTTTTACAGCAGCAGCAGGTTTTGAAAGCACACACATCCGTTTCCTTCCAGCTATTTACATTTTGTGCTATAGTAACTAGTAGCCCACATTATAATGTAATTAGGTCTAGATTGCATTCTAGAACCCTATACTATCACCACAAGTTATTTTTAATCCCTAAATATTAATGCATTATTAGCAAGCTCAACAACAGCTAAAAGCAATGTAGAAGTGCCGTCCCCTACCTGTATGGAAAAACTCTGCTCATCTAATTCAGTATGTCTCACAAGTGCATATGTGGATTTCCCAGAAAAATAATAATAGAGTCCATCGAAAGTTTCAAAATTGTATTGACCCCATGTTCTGCATATATGATCTCTTTCAGCACCTGTATTATACACTAACAAAAGGAGAGTCACTTGAGAAGTACCACTGGTTTTTGGATTCAATCTGTAGTTGAGATGTACGTATGTACGTGGTAAGCTATGAAACAGCACCAAAGGAAAAAGTGGGGAAAGTACTAGGTCATGAAGGAACCTCTAGGCAGAGGGCAGTCATTCTTGTAGCTGCAGGAACCCAAGCACAATCCCAAAAACCCAGCTAGTGTTCTCTTTACACACCTGTCTGGCATCTTGGTCCAGTTGCATTAAAACGACTGCAGTTGCACAGCTCTCTGTAGACACACTCGCCTCCATTAAAACACGTAAACAAATCTGATTGAAAAACACAAGCCATGTTGAAAATAAGTTATTATCATTTACATTCTTAAAACCCAGTTTTGCCACCAAACTCAACTCCATGAACGACAGGGGATGCTGGCTTAGGATTTAGATATCCAGGAGAATTCCACAGGCCTCCACAAACATACTGCAAAAGCTTCGCCCCAAAAAATACACTAAATGAAGTAAATTTAGTGCACATTTAGAGAAGCCAGATCAAAGCAGCTATGACGACATCTAGTCTGACATGTTTTCAGTCCCCTGAGCAAAGAATAGAGGAAATGAACAAGCATTATACAACAAAAAAAGCACAGTGGCTATATCCCCATACAAAAGACTGCTACACAGAGCACTGTGTGGGTAAGCTCTGCCAAGAGGAGAGCACACTACTCAAGAAATACAAACGTTGAGATCCCAGCTGGAAATCTTTCAGCTTCCTGCTCTCCTTCCATCTTACAACTTTTAAGTCAACCAGCCACAGTTTCCTCAAAGACACAGACTGCTGCTCTTGTTTCTAATTTTATTAGAAACAAACTTTTAAGAAAGAAAAATTTTTATGCTGAAGTGTAGTGAGCCTACTATAGACTACTACAACTTGCAGTGCCAGGCTTGGGTTTCACAGAGGGAAGTCTTGGGGGTTTTTTACTTCTTCTCTTCTCTGGGAAGATCCCCATCGAAATCTGACAAAACAAGTTTTCACAGTCTAAGGAATGATGTGCACAAACAGAAACAAAGCTTCTTTCTACTAAATTTAGACTTTATGATTAAACGCTTTTCTAACAATTGCGATACACTTTGCTAACATTTGGACTTTTAAAGTTTAAGTCTCTTTAAGAAAAGATTTTAATTTTAATGAGTATTATACAATTGTACACAGTAATTTTGGTGTTTGGGGAACAGAAAATGAGATTGTATTTGCTGCAGATAAGCAGACAAGTTGCTCAGAAGAAACTATTTCAGGAAGAGACAAACTGAAGGCTCAGCCATCCTGTTTACTTTGTCCTTACAAACAAATCCTTCTTGAAAAATAATCCTAGACAGAAGTTTTTAAGGGCTATCCTGAAAACCAGAATTCACAGAAAAAATTCTTTTCTCCCATTTCAGTAAAACCCTTGCTTATGAAATATCATCTGTAGCATGCACAGAAGTCCTAATGTACCTGTATAACCCTTCAGGCTTTTAAGAAATTCTGCTCACAAGGGTTTGAAGCTTTGCTGATGCAAGCAAAATAAAGCAAGGTCCACTTCAGACAATCCAAACTAATTCTATCAGGATTAAATCAGCTGGAGAGTTTAAGTTCAGAGGAAAGCTTTCTAGGATATGGACCACCGATTTATGACGTCATTGGTCAAACCGTCTTTAGGTTTGGTTCTCACCATTGACACTCACAAGCATACACAACAAGCATTAACAGCTACAGCAGATTCCAAGCTACTTGACAGAATGGTTGAAGTGGTTTGTTTCATTTTTTATACATTGATTGCAAGGAAACAATTTCTAACAAGTCAAGAGTTGACCATTGACATCCTACTGCTATTCTGATGCTGAATTCTTGATTCCAGCAACGGAAAAATAAACTTATTTCAAAGGGTGTTTTCTCCCTCCCTAAATTTTCTGTCCTCTTCTAGAAACTAAATTTATTAATGTTTTACCAATATCAACTTCCTACCAACACCTTTTATAGCACATATTTGGTTGGTTTTGCCAGCAGAGAGCCACCATTACAGCACTATTACAGAAGCCAGTCAGGCATACCCTCTTACTAAGAGCTTTAAATACACTAAAATAACATAAAAGCAAGCTGCAGCACATGGGGGATATCCTGTGAATGTATCACAGCCAAAACTAACTAAACCTTTGTTAACAATCAGAAACAATATTTTTAATAAGATGCTAAGCTCTCCAGCTTCCTCTCACCTGTTTTGTAAGTGTATCTACCACACAGGAACTACTTCCAGATACATATAATAAGTAACTGTGCATGCAACATTTAATTCATATGCAAAGTCTTACCAGAATGGACAGACTGAATGCTGTTAAGACTTGTCCTCTTGTGAGGCTACCTATAATCACCAGCTGTTATACCAGTGTGGTCAATGTAGAAGTTTAATGAGGAAATAGGTCACATTTAAAGTACCTGCTGTTTTGTGAGATCCTAGAAACTTAGAAGAAAGAGACCCTGTGCTCACAACTGTCTATAATGCTAGAAAGAGAAAGACTTCAATAAACTTCTAGTGTACCAAAAAAATAATAATAATAAAATTACCCATTTATCTACTTTAGGCCACCTGACTTTGCAAAGAGACACAGAAAGTTAGAAAGTTACAAGTTTACAGAACTCTTGCTTACTGAGTTCTACCAAAATCTGTCAGCAATTTATTCACGATTATATGGCTATTCCCATTTGCAAAAACATAATAAATACTAACTACTTAGATGAAGCCTTACAATATCAGAACAATTAAATTTGATTCCTTTGTTTTCAACACATTTTAAAAAAATAAAAATATAGGTCACACTGAAAAGAACAAGGCAGGCAGACAAAACAAAAAAAAACACTCCTTTGCCTAGCTAGCCCAAATATCTAGCTCCTTTCCCTGACTGGCCATCATGAGTTCAATTTACAAACTAATGCAAGTATAATATTGAAAGGCCCCCACTTACTCTGACTGAGCCACCTTATTTACATACTCACAGTGACCATCTTGTCACTAATGCAAGAAGCCTTATTCCTCTTGTCAAGAGAGGCAGACATTGATCTCTTTCATCTTGAGTGGTATGAGACCTGTGTAATCAGAGCTCAGGCCTCTCTTCTCTAAGATTAGCCCTACTGCCCCTGCAGTCACAATAGTCTGCAATTAGGCAGCAAGTCATGTTCCTCTGCAGTAGAGGAAGCTATGCCCCTTTTGATGTTTCGAGTTGAATGATTCCCCTTTGAGCACGGCTCACATAACCTGCTTCAAGCCACATTTATTCAGATTGTGCAGACAATCTGCTTATCTGGAGACCCTTGCTGTCACTGGGAAGGATCTCCTTTGCACCCTTTTAGAGAGAAAGGGAGTTAAATCTGCATTGGAACTCAAATCATTCAACGATGAGCATTTTCCCCTTTTATGAAGTTCTCTTCTGTCTGTGCATGTGTGTCTAAGAAAACGTGTGGTGTGTTGACACTGGCTGCACAGCATGTGCCCACCAAAGCAGCTCTATTACTCCTCCTCCTCAGCTGGACCAGGACACAGAACATAACAAAAGGCTGTAAATCAAGATAAAGACAGAAAGAGATCTCTCACCAGTTACCATTCTCACTTCTCTCTCCAGCTGCAGTTGCCCAGTAACTTTCTCCCCTCGTTAAATGTTATCCCAGAGGCACTATGTAGCACTGTTGCTGATGGCCTTGGCCAACAGCAGGCCCATCTTGTGGCCAGCTGCACTGGATTTATCAGATGTGGGGCCAGCTTCCAGGAGCTTCTCACAGAAGCCATCCCTGTGCAGCCCGCTACTAAAAACAAACCAAACACAAACCAAATAGAATGTGACAAACATCACTCTTGTATTTGCTTAGATCTCTTCTTTGCATCAGCGTAGCATGTTTCCTCACACTGCATAGAAGAGCTCTGTGCACAAAGATGAGTTCTCCTTAATCAGGTAATAATAGGAATAGGGTTAATTCAGGTCACACTTAGTGATCTTACTACCGAAAACATTGTGGGATTGGGCTTCAATCACCCAATTCTGCTCAACTAACACAAATAACACCTCCAGCATTTGGAATAAACATGCTACCAAAGGGTTCGCTCTGATCTTTGTCAGTAAAGACAAAGCTTCCTAAATCAGCTAACCCATCTGTTCAGGTCACAAGTTTAGGTCTCTCTTATGGAGATGAGAAATATTTCAACATCTGCTGAACGGGAATAAACATCAAGATGAAGCAAAGGTTAGAATTCAGAAAGGTTACGGAAGAATATTGTGTCCTTTGTTTACCTGAACGTGACCTCTACTTAAAAGTCCTTAGCTCCTCTTTTTTCTTTGACATTATGCCAGTTTAGTGCATTGGGCTGGAATCTGAAATTGAAAACTGGTGAGACTTTCCTAGCAGAAAGTAGTAGACCTAAGTAACATGATTCAACTCATGTAAGCAATAATGTGATTTCTAACCAGTGATGCCATTACAACCTGCAAGTCACTCTGATAATATGACCATTGTTGTCATGAAGCAACTTGTCTCAAATTCCTTCTTTATTGAACAGGGTAAAGACTTGGGATCATCTTATAGGTCTGAATTCTTCTCTGCTCCTCTCATTACTTAAATACTCTAACCATCTGGTAATTACTTGAATAGGCTGCAACTCCACTCAGTAGGATTATCTCAGTCCCTCAGGCTCCTGGACTTCTCATGAGTTCATCCTCCTTCAGCGTCAGGCACTGAGAGCCTCCAGGCCAGAGATCTCAACACAACTCATCACAACCTTTGAAAAAGTGAGACTCTAATCTAGCCTGTTTGCACTTCATTGCAAGTGTATCTCAAGATCAGTGTCCAAGATTCACACATGGGACTACTGCTGTCACCCTCCGAAAATAGATGTTTTAACAGCATCATTACTGATGCTGTTATCATTACTGAATCATACCAGATTCTACGTACATCTGGTAAGAGGGAGTCCCAAAATCCATTTTGAAATTCAGTACAGTCCCACACAGCTCTGGCTGGCCTTTCAAATATTCTTCACCTGGCTCCAAGCACGAGTTCTGACAATTTCATATGGTAATTGTTCAAAGGCATCTTCTATCTTCATCAAAATAAGCATTTATTGTGAAACATTGTTATAGATGCAATAAATTTTTGTGGGTTTGTAGCTATGATACTGTGCTTATTTAGTTTATTATGCTTTGTCACATTACTGCTTCTCTAATGAATACTTAGGATCTCTTAAATTTATTTCAGTAGCAAACCGAGTGTATGCCCAGGTACGCTCACCCATGATTTGTTGTTCTAATAAATGTTGGAAGATTAGTAATAATTACAGCTGGACATAGTTTATATAATGTGAAGCCCTTCAGCACAAAGTGAGACAGGCACTCAAGTACAGCTCTCCTCTTGGAGCACAGAGGCTAACTGCCAAGAAAGCATGTGTCTACATCCCATACTCTAGATACAAAAACAAAAAGACATCTAAATTAAAGTTTTTTCATGGAAGTAAATGCAAGTTAACATATTCAAGAACATATCTGACCACTTAAACTACCGTTCACATCAACTTTGAAATACTTGACTTTTGTGGCAACCTTCCTGTGGACCCAGATGCTCCAAGTGAATTCTCACCCCACTGTAAATACACCATTAGCATCAATACACTCTTAATTCTTGAAGATTTGTGACCTTCCTATGGGTATTTTTCTGTAAAAAATAAAAGTTAAGCACTTGCTAGTGTAAGAGTTCTGTATTTTATTACTGATTTTTAAGACATGGCAAAAAAACTTTTTTTTAATGCACAACACTGAAGACAGGTTTCCTTTCAGGATATTAATTTATAGATTCATTTGGACAGAAAAGGTGAAGTATTTAAGATTAATTTCTTTATTAGAGAGATATTTCTCTTTATTTCAGAGACATCTGGAAGTGATCAGGTTTTACTTAGGCTAGGTAGGTACAAGGTCCAGCCTCTTCCCTCAGTTATTATGATTCTCCTCATGTACCAACTTCAGCCCAAACAACTTCAGAGCTCCAGAGAGTCATTTGTAGAAGTAGTCAAATTCTTTATAGTTTCCAGGATTCCTTAAAAGATTACGCATTTTGAAAGCTTTATGCAAGTGTAGAAGAGAGAGGTCCTTCTGAAAGTTATCAAACTACTAAAAAGAGCCATTATTTTAAAATCAGTAAATTTTATTCTGAAATGAAAAAGTAAAAAAACAAAACAAAACAAAACAAAACAAAAAAAAAAAAAAAAAAAAACCACAAAGCAGTTTGGGATAAGAATTTGGAAGAAACATCAACAATATACCTATAGCCATGCATAAAGGAGAAAAAGACATGCTTAAAATGGAATATTTAAACCTTTGCTGTCAACATTCTTGAAATTTTGTTTTCTAAGTCTGCATAGTTTCCATTACATGCTTTCTCTAGAAAATTTTCAGGTCTCCTTTTGACTATGGGATAACTAATATAACATAATTCTTACATTATCTTTTATCCTTCAACTTCACAGTCCTGGAAAGCATCTGCCTGTATCCACACAAGTTTTCTGTGACATAGAGGCTTCAGCAGGTTGGAATACAGACTTTTCAAGAGGGCAAAGAAGT